GCTAAATTTTTGTGGCCCATTGGTGATGGGATCAACGGGGTTCTACTGTACTCATAACTTATACTTACATGATGGCTTCCTTGCCAGTTGCTTATGTTTATATCCTTTGTGTACTACACATGCTTCTTTCATGCTCTTGCAATATTTCTACAGCACCCAGGACTCCATCCATGTGCATTTTTACTCAAAGTAATGTGGCCATTTTTATAATGTTCATGCAACCTTAGTTATGTACCAAAGGTACCAATGTTCAATACATGTTTTCTTTGTAAAGCTACTACAGTAGCTATCAAAATGCATAAAAAACAAGAATAAGATTTAATTATTGTTTATATGATCCCAGCCAGTTACAGCAATTTCTCTGACATGATTTGTTGCAGAACTTTCTTCTGACAAGTGACACATCATCAGATGCTGCACAGTTAGCAGAGAAAAGTAAAGACATCTTACTACAGGTGATTTTGTTCATGTTTTCCGAGATTTTTAAAGCTACATGTACAGTGGTGCGCCTGGCCTTACCTGGGCCATTCCTGAGTACATGCATGTTCATGTACTATGTAAAGCAGTCAGCCTGTAGGAACACGAAGTTGATTATTTGCGTAAAGCAAACTAGGGTATTTAGCCAAATTGTTATAATAAACACTGTAAGGAATAGTTCATTAGATCCTGCAGTTTCAGGTACTGTAGGTGTATTCCTCAGCCACAAGTCAAGAATAATGATGTTTGTCTTTCAAGGGCAATATGTGTTAAGTAATTTATTGCTAACTGTTGGTAATTATATATGAGAAATAGACAATTCATCATGGTTTATGAACAAATCTGTAGACATGATTAGTTCTCAGCGGGAGTATATTCAGTGATGGAGCAACATCACTTATGCTTTGTCTTGAAAGGGAAACTATTTTTTTATTTTTGACTCTAAAATTCATAATAATAAATTAATAAATACAAGTAGGTTCTGGACTGTTACTCCTGTTCCTGCTTGCTAAAACAATACACTGCTTGCTGTTCTTTTATAACCGGATTAGACAGAAACTGATTGCCAGTTGAATAATCTCTGCCTTGCACTATTCTAACCAGCTACAGATGTTCTGTAACCATGGTAACACTACCTCTCTTTCTTGTGCCTATTTACAGGAATTCTTTCAAAAAGATGCAATGCGACTGCCTGAATTGGATGGGGTGTTGTACCTCAAGGAAGGCAAAAGATCATGGAAAAAGCATTACTTTGTTCTGAGGGCTTCAGGAATCTATTATACACCTAAGGGAAAAACTAAGGTTGGCTCTCATAATTTTTTTGTATTTCAAGAAGATATAAACCCTTTATTTTCAACAAAGCCTCTTTATCCAACTGCCATATACTTAGCTAGTTTCCATGCAGGTCGTCTGTCTTGGCTGAATTGGAAATTGGAAATATTGGTTTTTCACGATGGAGGGAAACAGGAAAAATCCAGAGAAAAACCCTCGGGACCAACAACAAACTCAACCCAAATACACATGTAAATGTATTACACTGAGATAGAATTAATTCCTCTCACAAATGCCCATTCCTTCTCCCCAAATCCATTCATGTATGCCTTTTTGTGCGTATTAACAATGATTTATGCCTTTCATTTTATTTTAGTCATCACGTGATATTGTGTGTTTAATGAAGTTTGAGCATGTGTCAATCTTTAATGGCATGGGATTCAAGAAGAAGCTTAAGGCACCTACAGAGCACTGCTTTGTTTTGAAGGTACACTTACAACTGTTGTCTTGATAACTACACAACTCCGGATCTGTGGCTGGTTGTTCAAAGTGTGATGAAGCTAATCAAGGAAAAGTGTGAATTTTTTAATTTAATCAATTTATCTTTTTAATTTGCACTTCCTATGGTATGGTTTTAGCATTGACTTATCTCAAACTCTACAAAACATTCAAACAGTAAAACAATTATTTTGTAGAAGAGAAATTAAAACCTGTATCACCTGTTATAGCCAGATATAAGATTAGTGTAAATTAGCTTTCAAACAACGAGGTCCTGGCTTTATGTTACACGTATACAGTGGTTCTGCTGTCAGTAGTTTTAATGTTGTTGTATTATTATTATTATTTGCAGCATCCGCAGTTTCACGATCTGGAATCCAAAGCAGTTCGGTGTTTTTGTGCAGAGGATCTCAAGACAATGCAACGATGGGTAGTGGGCATCAGACTTGCTAAGGTGAGTATATCAGGCTTGATTGAATTGATAATTCCCTTTACCGATTAAGATACAATTGTGATAATGCTTGGTTGGAGAATTTGTTAGTTTATCAAAATGTTAAGAAGTTAAAGGTGGAGACAGTGTTTTTTTTCCAAAATCTTACCTTTAACAAGTAACGATGTAACCTGCAATGGGTACATGTACTTTAAGCTCTGGGGGTCAGGGCTTACTGGAGAGTTGGGCTTAATGGAGAACAGGGGGGTGGCACTATTACAGCATTGACTGGATGGAGCATCACCACGTGCTATTTCATAAGGAGGACTAGCATCCCTTACAGTTTTCTGAACGCATTCCGTGCCTATCATGCCCCATTGTATAATTGTAGGCATGTAATGTGTGTAGAGAAGACTGTAGTTGCTCTGCTTGTGCTCTTCTCATAGAGTGTACATTTTATTGCTTCTTGAATCTGTGAACTTAAGTGAAAACAGCATATCTGATGGGTAATCACTTTCCTTCTTTAAATTAAAGAGTTAACTAGTACTTTAATGTATTTAAGCTGTAGGAATGTACAAGATTTGTGTTTTTGTTATTGTAGTTTGGATACAAGATGTTGCTGGATTATTCTGATACACAAGATGAGATGGACAAACTTGCTTTTACCCTGGACAGAAACAAGTTCACCAGGTCATCGAGTTTCACTGCAGGACAAGATGCAGAACCTGTAGATATCAAACCACAGGTTGGTCAAAGGACACTTGTCTTTTTCAGCTTTCCGCTACTGCCTCCATACACGTGCGTGACAGATAATGAAATTTTTGCCTGCAAATTCTACGAGCAAATCACTCAATTGCATTCCATTTATAGTTAGATTAGCTGGCATACAGTAGAAGGGGAGTGGAAATTATTAAGGGGGATGGAATGGCGGGGCCTCTCTCCCCCTTAACATGACTGCTATGTAGGGCTACATGTAGTCCTGTTGTGAATTGTTGAGCAGTCAAAGCGGGAGAAAGGGTGAGCTCATGGAGTCACTTGCTCTTCCACTGTTAATGCATTTCAAGACCTTGAAATGCATTGACATTGAAAGAGCAGCAGGATTAGAGATGATTTTGTTATCGGTGTGATTTTCTATCTTTCTCTTACAGCCTGAACCAAAGGACTATCAGTCAATGAAAGCCAAAAGCCAGTCTCAAAGAATCAAGGACTCTATTGGCTCTTCCTCTGTACATCCCAGTGGTAAGAAAGACTTTCGGCTGCTCTTAATAACTCTTTCATAAACCATTGAGCCTGCTGCTCCGTAAACTATATAGTATTATGTAGAAGTTCAATCGTGGATTTGAACTTTCAAGGAAACTGGGTTTCCTGAAGGGGACTTTAAATTCAACTGGCCATATATCATGATATATTTCTAATATAACCCTAACCCTAACCCTAACCTCTAGTAAAATAACTACTGAACTGGCAAAGCCGCACTCTCTTACACTATTTATGTTACCGTATTGTTACGTACGAGGTGGCCTCAACTAAAAGCCTGATGGTTTCTAGAGGTCACCTCGCCTCACATTATAATATTTATAAATACTGTATATTAAGTAAAAATGCAAAATAAACAGAATGAATAGATGAATTTTTTAACGTGAATATGCAGACATTTAAAACTTTCAACGTTGATGTAGATTGTGGTTGTTGTCGAGGCAGTATATTGATACATGTACATGTATATGATTGTATAATCCAACCGATCGTAGTTACCACAGTTTGTAACGGATACATCGTGTATGTGCTTAATTTTTTTGTAGCAGAAATCGTGAATGAAAGTGATTTTGTCTGTCCCTGCAGGTAGCATGAGCTTCTCAGTAAACAGAAGTAAAATTGAACCCAAAAAGCCTTCAAAGAAGATTGGCAATTTGTTTTCTGATGCTTGGAAAAAGGGCAACCAGTTTGAGGCAAAGGTAATGTTGAAGACTGCATGTAGTATAAGGGTGAAACGTGTGGACAGGTGTGGTGTTGCAAGGAGTTAAATTTTAAACTATTGCAATGGAGTTGTGATGGACTAGTTCACTCTTTACAGTTCCACTTGCGTATACACGACAACAACGACAACAACAACAACAACAACAACAGCAGCACGCAAACGTTATCTATGAAGTGATCTTCACAGAAATAAAATGTCGAAATTTTTAGTAAAGAAGTTTGTTTCGTTATTATGTCTTCACAGAGTGTTGAGCCGGTTTCACCCGATACACCCTCGGGACACAGTGCGGGGGCTGCCACGCCCAACACCTTGGACCCAAAGACCTTCACTATCGACAATCATGTCATGCAGCCTTTAGAAGAAGAAGCAGATGAGAAAGAGGAGACGCCGAACTCTGAGCCTGTAGAAGTTGTTCCACAGCACAGCCTGGTGTTAGATCCTCCGCCATTACCCCGCAAGTCATTCTCCAAGAAAAAGGAAGAGGAGCCAATCCAGCCGCAGACGGACAACAACGAGGACAAGGGAGACGAACAGAATAGTGAAATAAGCACAAGGCACAGGGGCTCGAGAAGATCCAGGAGAACTCGCAGTCAATCACCACCACCCCCGCCTCCGCCACCACCACCGCCCCCACCCTCTCTACCCTCTGAACATTGTGGATTGACTGGTAGAGATAAAACGTCCGAACAGACTAGCAGCACATCGCCTCACACAGAACAGGCTCGCAAAAGCAGTTCCCTTCCTCCACCTCCCGTTCCCCCTAAAACATCAACATCACGAACCTCGTCTCATTGTTCAGACCACAGCGACTTACCGCGGACCTCATCAAGTATTTCAGACCACGAAGTGTTTCCGCGAAACTCATCTAGCGTCTCAGACCACGAAGTGTTTCCACGCTCTTCATCGAATATTTCAGACCACGGAGTTTTGCCTCGACCTGCATCCAGTACCTCAGATCAAGAAGTGTTTGGGGATCTGCTCCTTCCCCCACCCTCGCGGCTGTTGTCTACTTCTATGGAAGAGATGCCCCCACCTCCTCCCACAGGAGAAGTTCAGGAAGATGCAGATGTGGATCTCCCTCCTCCTCCCCCAGAGGTGTTGTTTAAAGAAAAGCTGAGTGAGTCTCTTGGCAATGGGAGAAGGAGGACCACCAGTGGAGGGGGAGGACCCCCTGCAGTTCCGCCCAAAACAGGAAAACCAAGATTCAGCAACTCAGGGACACCAGGCCCACCCACTCAACCTAAACCCTCGTCTTCCGCGGGCAGTCCGAGATAATTCAGTTCGTTTTATACAGAGTAGCCTTACTAGCTAATTCAACCCCTGAGGTGCACATGTATTTATTTATTCGGATTACTGCTAAGAAAACCACAAAGACTTTCATGTAAGCTAAACCTAAGTGTCTATGGCAAGAACTGTTGATTCCAGCAGAGACACTATTGGGAAGTATTCTGCCACTAATTTTGATTTATTTTGTGTGTTTGTTTTTGTTATTGTTTATTGTTAAGATAAAAGTATATTGTTTCTAGGTGGAGTTGTTGCTACTGTTGTTTTAGTCTCCTATAAAGAACTTGAATTCTCGTTGGGTTCACAACATGACCAATATTTTGGATTTTGTGTCCAACAACAGAACACAAGCAATTTTATGAATCATGGTACTAGTTCTTCACAGTGAATGATAGTATTCCTCGATGAAAACGTTCCATGCAATTATTACCTGTTGCAGTTTACAAACTGTTTGTGCACTTGGTGTCAGAAGTGTTAAGTGTATTACTTCACATCCATCTATTTCATGGCTGCGGAAAATTGTCCATGAGAAAAAAAAATAATCGAATTTGGGTTTCGTAAATTGTATATAGAATTTCGTAAAGATGGAATTGGTAAATATTTTAAGACAAAATATATAATTTTGTACGTTGTAATTTTTTAGAGAACGTGTTATCTTTTGATATTAAACATTTATTTGCTTTTTGTGATGTTTGAACTCCTGTTGTCTGGACTGATTTGAAAGTTGGGAGCTATCGATGGAGTTAGAATCAAGTTATGAGAATTAACCTGTTATCGTTATATTGAAATTCTGACATGATTCCGAGGCCTTCGGACCAAACTTATAATTTTTCTAATGGTTACTCCCATGATAAAGAAAAAATGCCCAACTATAGAAGTTTGGCATAAGGCCTCGGGTTCAAGTTAGAATTTTGATATATTGAACGTGGGTCATTACGAGCTTACAAGTGAAGAGAGAATTATAATGAAACTTCTCGTTACCGGTTAACCTTGGGAACAAAAAAATGTCATCCTGGTCCTCTTCGGCTTCTGAAGTGAACTGAGAAATTGAAGAGAGAAAACCTCAGGAACCAGGGAAGAAAGATGCCTGCTTACTTGCAGATGATTTTCAAGGAGCACCCCCTCAAATATCTGTCGACCGACTGTCACCGGACGGTGTCAGCAGCTCGGGGTTTCTGACGTATCTCGGGAGGGTGAATGACTTGAGGAGATTGCTGATTAATTCGAGCTACTTATGGAGGTTAGAAAAGTAGCTTCTGTACGTCGCTGAGACTGCATTTCATGCGGCTTCCGTCTGTAAACAGGAGATGCCCGTTAGCGAAACTTCAACGGTACATGTATGGAACTTTTCAAAACGATCTAATTAACCCTTTGAATACCAAACTTTCGCCAAAAAATACCGTTTTAACCGTTTAGTCAGGTTTTTTAGCTGCCACGACGCTAAATAAGCCTAAGTTTTGTTAAAAAAAAAAGCTTTTTTTACTAAAAGAAGAGATTTTTCGAGGATTAGGTACAAAATTGAGCAAAACTTCAATTCCGGGCATGCGCATAAGCCATTGACTGTTCTCAACTTCGTTTGTTGGCCCTTTCCTTTCTGTTTTTCTCGGCGCTTTTACACTGGCTACCTTTTGCATTGTATGTTCTTTCTGGCTGCAGTGAAAAGTTGGATGTTAATTACGGGCGAAGCCTAGAAATGGAACTTGATCAATCATAGGCGTTGTGGAC